CTTCCTCTGCTCTGGCACGGTGTCCTCCTCGTGGGAGACAGTCCTCCATGAACTTTCTCCAGCATGAATCCTTCCCATGGGCTTCAGCTCTTCCCAAGATGCTCCCGTGTGGGTCCCTCCCACGCGTCGCAATCCTCCCAGTGCCAAACAACAACAGCAGGGGCTACCCACGGAGTCCTGGCCTGCTTTGGGTGCAGTCACCTGCTGTAGCGTGGGGTCCTCCATGGGCTGCAGGTCGGCATCTGCCCCACTGGTGACCTCCATGGGTGGCAGGGGGGCAGCCTGCCCTCTCATCTCAGATGCAGGGGAATCTCTGCTCCAGCACACCTCCCCCCCATCCTCTTCCTTTCTTCCACTAACCTTGATGTTTGCATAGGTATTTTCCTCTCAACTCCTCCTCACAACTCCCACTCCTCCCTTCTTAAACATGTTATCACAGAGGCGTGGCTGCCATTGCTGGTTGGCTTGGCCTTGGGTCCAACTTGGAGCCAGAGGAGCTTTCAAGAAGCTTCCCACAGGGGACCACTGCTGTAGCTCCCTCCCCCACTACCAAAAACACCACGCACAAAAACCCAAGGGAGAATCAATGGGAAATTTCAATCGTAAGTCATTTGTCCCTGTGCTAAATGAGTTGAGCTGTTTCAGCAGTAACTTGGGATTCAGATCAGCATTTGAATCGTAAAGCAGCTAAGCTGGTCCTTAATTTGAAATGTAGGAATGATCTTACTAATTTTACGAAAAAGACAGTGCAGGATGATTACAGTCATCTTTAGTAACCCTAAATAGGACTGGATCCAGTATCTTGCTGGAGGCATTTTTCAGCTCAGCTGGGGTGCTCTCAGTACCAAGACTGGAGCCTTCCAAATTTGTAGCTGAGCTGTTTCAGCAAATTTTTGGGTTTGTGCCTGGCACTTGGATGCCTGCTACACCTGCTCCAGCGTGGTGCTGCTGTGTTATTTCGGTGGTGTGCATTGCCATGCTTGAATGCTAAGGCAGTATGGGCTATACTGGCTCATACTGCCAGGAGTTGAAGAAATTGTGGACTTGTTGTGACTTTGAAGTTGGAGCCTAGTTTCAGTATTGCAACTTCACCATTGGGACTAAAAACATTGATTCTGGAGGTATTTCTTATGAGTTTTGTTGAACTGGCTAAACAGGGCTAGGGATTAAGTGGAGGATATATATGGTGAAGAGTGATGGGGAAAAAAGTTGTCATGTCTTAACTGGTCAGAATCCTACAATGTATCTTCTGGGATACCAGAGTAGCAGTGTACTAAGGGTTAAATTGGCTGAGCATGCTTTTAAGACAGACTGAGGAGGTTGTTTCTAGTAGTTTCTACTGAAATCAGTAGAAGAGGAGAATTTCCAGAGGGATTGAAATAATTTATTTTTATTTTCAGTTTCAAGGATTAAGCAAAACAAAGATGTTTATTTAGATTGCTGTGTCTTAATTTTGCTTTTTATAATATGTTTCTACAACAATTAGTAAAAATGAAAGCAAAACCTTACTTATTCTGTGGTTCTGAAAATGTGATGACAATTTTATGGTAACATATACTATGTTCCCGTCCTCCTAGGACTATTTGTATGTAGTCAACCTTATTGTGCCTGTGAATACAATTTATGCATTTAGCTGTTTGCAAATAACTTATTTTCTACTCACAGATGTACGTGAAATCAGGCAGGAGATAAGTGGCATTATATATAAAAAACAATAGTCATGTTTGTGTTAGTCTATAGACAGCAGGATCCTGTGATACTTGGAATAATGAAAGCACAGTTTATAAAAATAGATGTGGAGGAAGATACAACTGGTTTAGAATTGTGCTGGCTTCTGTGAAAAGCTGGTCTTGTTTTCTATATGGGAGAGAAAGTGATACGGGTTAAACAAAAGTACTTTTGCATTATTTTGTCATGCTGTTACTGCCCAACAGATCATGTGCAATTACTGCGTATCGCTGAAGAAGTAATGAAAAATTTCCTGTAAATAGTAGTTTGAGCGCCTAACCTTTGTAAGGTTAGATATAAAAGCTCACTGAAGTCTGTTCACTCATTTGTCTTTGACTTCGGTCATCATGTTGTGGTTAGATATGTCTTTTGTTGTAAGAAGAAGGTATTATTTGACTTTATTTATAGAATCCTTGATGGTGTAGGGGGAAGGAACAGTCTGCTATATAGTCTTACATTACTGCATCACCGTGATGCAAAATTCATAAAACAGCTTTTGAATGTCTGTTTTTGCAACATTATCAGATGATTAGGAACTTCATGTTACCATAAAGTGCGGCTGTGTGGAGTAGTGTTTGTGTGGATCCCTTTGGGATCAAGTGTGTTACACTGCTGCAGTCTCTTAAATGATATTAAGTCATGATGATTAGTTTTGCATTGAGGGTTTTGTTGGTTTGTTTGGTTTTTGGGTTTGTTTGTTTGTTTGTTTTTTTAAAATAAAAAGGCAAGATTTCTTTATGGCTTTTAGTAAGTTTTCTGCCACAACTTTTGGAACTTAGGCATTTAGTGTGCATCTTGATATTGTAGTATCTACTGTAAAATATTAATATTTTACAGAATAATGAATGACCTGGTACTAATGGAAGAATATGTCAGTTCCTGATGCAGGCAGGGACTTACGGTGGCTGTACCTCCAGTTTTCCTTATACTTCATGAGCTTATTAGATAGCCTGCGCCTCCAACACTTCATTTATCCTGATTTTACATTGATGGTGTTAATTGTTACTGACCTTAGAAAGTTATTGGACCTTAAAAACTTGTACTCTTTGTTCATACATGTGGCTTCAGTCAGTGTAACTGAGATGATTATAAGCCTTTGCTGTATTCCTGCTCTAGTTCTCCCTGGACAATTAGCTTAACCCTGTTTTAAATTAAGTCTCCATTTGGAAGCTGAGGATGTTCTGGTATTTGCCCGGTGATCCTTTGCTGATTAGAGGGAGTGACTTAAAATACTGTTTCATCTTATTGGAGTGTTACAATTTGTTTCTAGGCAGTAACCAAAGTAGAAGTTGTATTTAAATAAATTTCCATATCTGTCCTCTCTTCTGAAAGAGCTGGTATGTCCCTATTGACATAGATTGACCTGCTTCAATCACTGTCTGTAGAAAATATTAAAGTATCTATTATGTAGCTATGTACTTTATTTTCAGGCTGGCATACAGGATGGTAGGTCTGAGATGGGACAAGTTGGTCATAGTCCCACTGTGCTGGTGCGTGTGTAACTTCTTAATGACATTCTTACTTTCTAAAAGGCAGGGCCAAATAATTATATTTAGGAAAGTTACCCAAGATGGTTGCATGTCATGCTTTCAGTGCCATAGCCCTGCTGAAGTACGGAGAAAGCCTTGTTAACTGTTCAAGTCATCCTGCAAAATAGCAAGGGCTGAGGCTGAAGTCCTGGTTCCCAAAGCACATCCATCTCTGTTCATGCAGGTAGCTCTCATTAATGCACATACTCTCTAGTTAGGGTTGTGGCTACTCTTACGAGCCCTTCAACAGCTAATTAAAGCACGCTTTGGAAGATGGGGAGGTTCTCCTGCTTGTATAATCTTGGGTTTCCTGATTTCTTAGAAGGGTAGGATCTAGCAATTTAAATGCTTGAATGCTCTGCCATCACTGCTTAGGAATTTGGGAATACCACAATCTATATGGGAAAAACAGCTGTCACATTTCCTAGAGTGAGGGAGTATAAGCCTGTGACACGATCCTCCCTAATTAAATTTCTTGGCACTGGGGAGAAGAAGATGCCCTTCATTTTTTTGAGTTTCAGCCTACTGCAAAAACAAGGTGAAGTTAAACCTCCTGTACAAAGACAGATGTTAATCCCCGCCAATGGCACTGAAGTCGCCCAGAGGCTTTCCTGAGGGTCTCAGTCTGGATGGGTACGTGTGAGACCTCTATCCCTTTTTCTTCTGTCACAGCAGCCCTTAATCAAAGGCAGTTTAAATAATTTTGATCAAAATGCTGGACGCCACACGTTTTGCTTCCTTTAAAAATAAATGGATTCAAATTCCTAGGCACCAACATACTCCCTTAGGTTCCTAATTTCAGACACCTGTTTCTGTTATCCTTTTGAAATGGCAGATTTTTTTTATTAATGTATTGGTCACCTCAGTGGTATAAAACGATTGTTTTGTGCTCACTTTTTTCTTCAGAAGTTTTACAGCTCATGTTAACCATGTTTACCTTCGATGCTGATGAGTAAATGAAAACATGGGAGCTGTAGTCACCCATCACTCCAGTGAAGCTGTTTACATTCCATAGTTTGGGATTTTTTATTTTTTTTCTTTTCTATTGTACTGTGCAGTTTTTTTGCCTGTTCTAATTTGCCATGACGTGGTCAGTGCTGTTTCCTTCCGGCTGCTTGTGAGCCTGTGGTAGAGATAAGGATACGTTTACAGTGCATTTTTAACAAGAAGCCGAAGATCTGCTTCATGTAGGAACTCGGGGACTCTCGGGATTGTACAAAGAATTCATTTACTGGTTTCATCTGCTTGATGCTGTGGGAATCAAGATCTAGAGCATTTTACTCGCAAAATAACAACTTCTGTAAATTTGAACTGTGCGTGACGAAGAAAGGTGATATACTTGGGGTGTCCTACAGCTGAGTAGGTCAGTCTGGGTTTTGTATTTTTACTTGAATATACCTTAAAAATGAGAATTATTGGTGAATGTGAAAACTGCATATATAAATCAAATGAAAAGATGGGTTTTCTTTTTGTTAACTATTGTAACTTTTTCTTAGTCTCATGGTTTTAATATGAAACACTCTGAAACTGAGGTCTTCCTGAAACAGTTTTATTTTTAAGGGAATAAAAATTTGCATGTATTAATTAGTAGAAGTGTAATACATCTGAAGATACAAAGGTGTCCGACTTCCTTGGAGTTAGAAAAGTTAAATTTCAGAGCAAGCTTTACTGTGACTGCTACTATTTCACATAGCTAAAGCAATCATTTCTTCATTATAACTTTTTTATTTTTTCCCTCCACAGTGATAAAGGCTATTGAGGTGGGAAGAACAACTCAGGAAAGGATTTCCCTTGGTTCGTTTCCCTTTGAGAAGAGAAGAACCTGCGAACACCGATGATCTAAGAAATACGAACACCGATACTTGAATCATTTTGTGATCCTGCCTTTCTGCCCGGCTGGACCTTGGTGACACTCTCCGTTCTTTCACATTCGAGAACATTTTTCTTTGTATGTGGAGCTGAAACCTGGGAATGCGTTATTATGGCAGCAGTTGTACAGCAGAATGAGCTTGTGTTTGAATTTGCCAGCAACGTCATGGAGGATGAGCAGCAGGTATGGGACAGTGTAAGAAACCATAATCGTACAAGTTGGTGCTTGGAATATTATGAAAACACGAGGAAAAAATGTGTAAAGCACAAAAAAGCAAACATGGAAGTCAGTATTGTTGCAGCAGATCTTTGTGCTATTTCAAAAGCTTCCTGTTGCTTCCTGTAACTGGCATGGGCAGAACAGAAATTGGTTGAAGTGTTATAACTTCTGCAGTATTGCAGAGATATCCTCCTCTGAAAATGTTTTTGCTGTCTTGCTGATTTGTGCCGATATATTCCATCCATTTGTGATGCAGAATTCCCCAACTTCTGATACTTGACAGTGTGCTATCCTGGTGTGCTAGGATAAAATTCCGAATAAAAGTAACGGTCACATTACAGATGACTAGAAGGAGCGGTAGGTACTGCTCACTGCATTTTTACAGATTGGTTTCTGATTGTGTCACTTTATGCTGGCTATTCAGAAATACACGTCAAAGTAATTTAAATTGGTTTCTTTCACATTGCAGGGAAAATATGTCTGTTTCTGAGGAGGCTCTGTTAGGTGTTGATTATCTAAACCACATCCTGTGAGCCCTGAGGCTTCAGTGAAGGATTCCTGTTGTAAAAATGGGGCAGCTTCTCTACAGTTATAGATTAGGTGTGGGTTAATAGTAGGGGTTTGCATTTATTAACAAGAAATAAGGTGTCTGGGTACTGCGGAGAGACAGTTCTTGAGAGGCTGAGAAATGCCGTGACAAACTGTTACTCTTTCTGTGAATGTGAAAAGCATTTATCCTCTCTTTTAAAAATGCTCGTGGCTTTACAGTCTTGTCTCTGGGTTTTCTGTATGGCCTGATATCTGGCTGGGTCAGTGGCCTGTTTCTGCTGTCAGAGTCATGCGATCATTTCAATGAACTGAGTGTTGTCTGTCTAAAGTGCTAACTCAGTTTTGGGTGGAACTAGTAATGTAACTTCCTTCCCTGTATTTTTCTAGAGCTTGTGGTAGCCTGGGGATTTAGATACGGGAATTGCAAAAACATAGCTGAAAACAAGCCTTATTTGTTACCTCTGTTTGTTGTTCATTGCTGGCTTTACTTTACAAGCCAAAGGGAGAGAGGAGAATTGAGATGGGAAGGGCTACTTCAGTGGTAGCGGCAAGCAAACCTAGTTTTGTTTGGTTTAGCTGTGCATTCTTCCTCTTGCAATTTTTTCAGATGCTCACCTGAAAAATTTTAAAAGTACTAAAGAGTACTGAACAGGGCAGTAAAACCTCCCTAAACAGAGCTTTCTTCAGCTCCAGAACAAACTCAACCTTGGCATTTATCTCATAACCCCAATAAATCCTACTCCAGATGAAGCCTAAGGAAAGAAGGTGTCTGTAGCATACCCAGAAGTGATGAAATCAAAGATGGGGAAGGTCAAAGAGAGAGTGCATAGCGGAAGGTTCATTGCTGCAGTTGGGTGAAAGCTCCTCTTAAATCACTGGGTTGACTTACTTCAGAGATCAAAGATGCAGGTAGGCAGCTAGCTAGGTAGATGTTAAATACCCAGTTGTAGAAAAGGAGTCCTGCATAGGAAAAGATCTGGGAAGCTGGAGCAAGATTCGGCTTGGGCAAGGATTTATAGTACAACATTAGCCTCAAAAGATTGCTTGTTGCTTATATCTAGTTGATCTGCTGCTTAGAACATAGGAGCTATTGTTATGGCTGCTACTGAGTTTTAAAATTCTGGACAGGTGAGTTATATTTAGGGGTGGATAACACAGTTTGTGTACTTTGCAAAAAGTTTAGCTCTGCAAGTGTTCTGTTGGTCAAAAGCAATTTTTGAGCTTCATCAGTGTACAAAAGCTGAGATACTTATATACAAGCATCATTTAAATGATTTTTGGATAATTATTTTTGCAATGCTCACAAAAGCTGGCATTGCAAGAATTTTGGTGCTTTACTTTTTGTCAAAGTTTTGCCTGAGGCCCTGTTGTGCCAAGAGCTGTCAGGACATGGAACAGCTGCGGGGAGAGGTTCGGGGTCTAGATGGCAGCTATGCTCAGTATTTCAGGGAAGTCATAATTCATGGCTATTTTTTTATTTAATACTTTTTAAAGTCTTGGTTAAACAACCATAAATTATGAACAGTCCATTTGAAAATGTAAGCATTCAGCCAGTGTCAGATGCCAAGGGGAGGGACTCGATCACGTGGCCCCATGTGAACAGGAAAAGCTCTCTCTTATCAGCTTTGTCCTTTCCAGTTTAGAAAATCAGATTTTTTTTTTTGTTTCTTGGAGGATTAATTTATTTTATCATGCATGGATGGTGCAGAAGAAATGGGGTGAAAATACACTCATAACTTTGAGAAGGGAACAAGTGGTTTGTACCAATGCTACTGATAACCTGACTGGCTGCTGGTGTGTCAGAGGTCCTGGTTAAAAAGATGATTTTTTTGTTGTTGTTTTTGTTTTAGTTTTTTTTTGTTGTTGTTGTTGGTTTTGGGGGGAGAGAGAGACTGCATACGTAAAACTGGACAGAAGCTCCTACAAGCTTTGGCTGAGTCAGTGCCACTGCCTAAAACTGCATTTCTTCATGTCTGCAGCTTCTCCTCTCAATATCTTTTCATTTAGCCCTTAGGTAACATAGAGTCAATGCAATATTTCATCAGGACATTCTGGATTCGGTAAGCTGAATAAAAGCAGTCACAGAGTCTGGATCATACTAGGAAGTTTTAAATGGTGCCAGGGTCACACTGAATCATCAGAACCCTTAAATTGCTAGCATGGTCCCCAGCATGATTGCTCTATGCCAACAGGTTCTCTCTCAAGTGGCTCTGACACGTGTAGTAACCTGTGCCTGCAGACACCTTCTGTGCCTCTGAGGAATGTTTCTTGCTTCCCTTCTTCTGAGGAAGAGGGGTCCAAGCCCTTAGGTAGGGCTGTGGCTTCTGCACCATCTTCTCATGCCTTGGTTTGCTCTTCCACATTCGCTGGTGTTGCTGTGGGCTTTCTGAAACATGAAGTCACCTGGTCAGGGCCAAAACCTACATTTTTTGGCTATTTCCAGCTCCTGCAGAAAGTGCCCCCCTTATCTACTTGCAGTTTTATGAAGACTTTAAGGAAATGATTGTGAGATCCATAATGAGGTTGTCTCCCCAGGAAATCAAGTGGCATTTATCTGCTTCCAGCATCCCTCTGTGAAACTTTGTAATTTCTCAGATGCTGACCGTGGGAATGCCTTTAAAGTCGAGAGGCTGCCTCTACTGTTGGCACAGGAGCCTTCATCAAGAGCAAACCGAAGCCCATTTTCTAGTCACCAGGGTCACTTTGCCTAGTTTCATTTATGTTTTGGTTTTTTTTGTTGTTGTTGTTTTTGGTTTTTTTTTTGTTTGTTTGTTTGTTTTTTTTTTGTTTTGTTTTTTGTTTTTTGTTTTTTGTTTTTTTTTTTTTAATAAATGGTCAACTATATTGCAAGTCTAAATTCTGTTGCTCTGTTAAAAAAAAAACGTTTTTTTTTTCACTGGGTTTTCTTTCATTTATTTTATTTTTTTTTCCCTTTTCCCTGATCCTATCTATTGCATGCCTTTTTTCCCACCGGTCACTCACTTCCATAAATTTATTCCACACCAGTTAGAAGCTAGTCACCATATTCCTGGGACAAGTATTCTTCCTTAGAGGACTTGTAGTATGAGAAGACAATACCTCCAGAGCAGAAGAAATCCCCTTCCTTATCTTCCATTTCCACAACCAGGATGGTGTTTTGATCTTCTGTCAGCTGGTGACAGCTGATGAGAAAATTCTCAGAGACCAAGCTGTGTGGTGCGGTCAACACGCTGGAGGGAAGGGATGCCATCCAGAGGGACCTTGACAGGATTGAGAGATGGGCCCATGCAAACATCATGAAGTTCAACAAGGCCACGTGCAAGGTCCTGCACATGGGTCAAGGCAATCCCATGCAGAAACACAGTCTGGGCAGTGAATGGATTGAGAGCAGCCCTGAGGAGAAGGACTTAGGGGTGTTAGTGGACAGAAAACTGACTGTGAGCCAGCGATGTGTGCTCATAGCCCAGAAAGCCACCCGTGTCCTGGGCTGCATCCAGAGAAGCGTGGCCAGCAGGTCAAGGGTGGGGATTCTGCCCCTCTAGTCTGCTCTGGTGAGACCCCACCTGAGTACTGCATCCAGCTCTGGGGCCCCCAGCATGAGAGGGACATGGACCTGCTCGAGCGGGTCCAGAAGAGGGCTGCAAAGATGATCAGGGGGCTGGAGCACCTCCCCTGTGTTGACAGGCTGAGAGAGTTGGGGTTGTTTAACTTGGAGAAGAGAAGGGTCTGGGGAGACCTTATAGCGACGTTCCAGTACTTAAAGGGGGCTGACAGGAAAGATGGAGAGGAATGCTTTATCAGGGATTGTAGTGATAAGACAAGGGCTAACAATTTTAAACTGGAAGAGCGTAGATTTAGATCAGATAGAAGGAAGAAATTCTTCACTGTGAGGGTGGTGAGACACTGGCACAGGGTGCCCGGAGCAGCTGTGGCTGCCCCCTCCCTGGAAGGGTTCAAGGCCAGGTTGGATGGGGCTTTGAGCAACCTGATCTAGGGAAAGGTGTCCCTGCCCATGGCAGGGGGGTTGGAACTAGCCGATCTTTAAGTCCCTTCCAACGCAAACCATTCTACATTTCTATGAAAAAAAGAAACACCTTGTCAGCATGTCAAACACCCAAGAAGAATTTGAGAGCAGGAAGGGAGGATTGCTGCCTTTGGTCCTTGGAGGAGGGCAGGGTTCAGTTTTCGGGGGGTCATGGAGCATGACAGATGCTTTCAGGGATCTGCTCATGGGACCTTCCATGGACTTCAGCATCTCTCTTAAGCTTTGCACTTCTCTGAATTGTTAAAGGTTGGTCTACAGGACTGATTTGTAGATAAACTACAGTGAGAAATTTGGTGTCTAAGATTTGGGAATATTTCAGCAGTAACTCAACTCCTTTAAGTGTCCAGCAGACATGGGAGATGTGTTGAAGCCAAGCCAAAGCTTTGGCAGAGCTGGGTGTCATATTTTAACTATATTCTTCATGAGAAAGATGAAGCAGAAGAAGTAGGCAAAAGGAAAAACTACATAAATTGTTTTTCTGTGGATTTAGGTATTGATTTCTTGAAAATCATTGCTGGCACTCTAATTTGAGACTGGTTTTTTAGTTTTGGCATACTTTGCACTCTTTTTGTTAATGCATGTTGAACAACCTTTGTATAAGAAATAAATTACTTTGCCATCTTGATTTTGGAGAGGTAATTTCTCTTAATTGAATCACTACCTTCTAGTCCTTAATTTAATGTTTTCCCTGTGTGTAATGCTTATTACACACTAGCATCAAAGGGAGCCATAGTAAACATGGGGTCTTCTGCAATTCTAATTGTGAATAGAGTTATTCCTGTGTTTTACAATGGAGCTACAGGAAGCTTTAGCTTGTCTCTCAGTTGGGATTCAGGCGCTTTCAATGAAATCAAGAACATTATGGAAGTACTGAAGTGAGATTTTACTCCTCAACGGTCATACATACATCAGCATACATTAGGAATAGCTTTTAAAACTGAATTAAATGCTTGTTAGTGAAATTATAATAAATTGCAAATATTGTACAAAGAAGTGATACTGGTTTCCACAAAAATGCATTTCAAATTAGATTCGATTGCAGTTGCATGAATGCTTTTCTCTCTGAAAGCATATTATATATTTGTTCCAGCCTTTCCTTTTCACAACCATGTCAGGAAAGAAAATCCATACATTGTACTTCCGTAAGGTATGAGTTGGAAGGAGATGTAGCAATGGTTTTAAAATAAAAGGCCACAAGAAGTTATATTTACTCTGATTCTTCCAGTTCAAAACAGTTATTAATTTAAAGAAAACCACATTTAAAGTGTCTTACTACGGGCTAATGCTCTTCTGTTTGTCTCTCGTCTTTCGGAAGTGCAGTGTGTGAGCAAGCTCCTCGGAGGGTCTGGTGCCGAGCTCACGCGATGAGGTATTCCCCTGCCACGGGGGTTTCTCTGCCTGTAGACAGAGACAGTGACTGTCTCGGAGTATGCGGGTGATGTTTTTTTCTAGACATGGTCAAAACACAGTTTAACCTTGCGGAGCCGATCGTATCTGATCAGACGGACCAGGCCGACTGCTGCTGCCATGTGTGAGGGCAGCTCTGTTTACTACCACAGGAAACATTTCAGCCCGCAGTGAAGAGTGTTTCAGTAACACCTAGATGCTTGGGCTTTTGTAATTAGACTTCACAGCAGAGCCATGAGTAGGGTGTAATGTGAATGGGGCTTTGAGAAACTGAGCTGAAAGCTTGTGACGATTGGTTGGCTTTCTTTGTGTTGCATTTATTATTCTGAAACAGTTTTTCATGATTTGTCCCCACTAAATAGTAACAGCAGTGCTGGAGGTGCTTTTGCTTCTCGGAGGCCAAGTCAGGGACTTGAGCGTCAGTCATTAGAGAAGGATAGTGCTGAGCCAGAATAATTTTTTTTTATCCAGAAGAAGCTAATGTGAGGTTTATCCTAAGCACAGGCAACTGGGTATGTTGGTGCAGATGCTGCAGCTGTCGAGCTGGTGCAGTGGCAGAGCAGGGGAGGAAGGAGCACCTCGCTTCAAAGACATGGCAGGGTGGCAGCTGGTCATTTGCTGGTGAGCATGTAGGAGATGGACACCTACATCAGAAATAGACACACCAATGCCTCCACCCTTTTATAGTCAACAGAGAGGAATAGGGTTTTTTAGGGCATGATTCATCCTGTCATAGCACAAGAGCTGGACAGGGAAATTGTGCCTTAGAAATATCCATTTCTTTCTGTTGGCTCTCAAGGAAACCTGCGGTTCCTAGCGCAAGTCCAAGTCCTTGCACCACAGCTGTTTGAAGGTAGGTGAGATGAACTTCACTCTCAGTGCCTATGAACTAGAGCGGGATGTGAAGACTGAAGTCTTCTTACTTGTATCTTCTCTACCTAAAATCCATAGTTTTTACTGAACAATATAATGTTCTACTGAACAGGTGCTTGTAAAGCACGCACTCTTCTTGCTTGCAGGTGACAGGAGCCTAAGTGAAGTATTGTATGTAATCCTTTTTTAAATTTTTTTTTTTTTAAATGTAGTTACATATATGGGTGTACAGTATATGTAACTTCCACCCCACAAGTTATATACTATGGTATGTTACTGAAATTGAGGTACTTAAACTATTTTTAGAGCATGGATTGTATCTCTGTAATGAGGCTGTAATGGACCATCTTCCTTCTAGTTTATGGAACATATTGTTGAAAATAAAGCCTTTTTTTAATGCATACAGTACTTTATTTTTCTTCTCTCTTTACAGTGCTTTATCTTTTTTATTGATGTGGCTTTTATTCAGTCAAATCTATTTGTTTATTCTTGCCTGGAAACAAATGGGATCAGGGATGTTGGGCTCAGTAAACAAACAGGTTGTGCAATGTGAATGCAATTCTTCCGGAGGAACAGCAGGGACCTCTTGCCCACCAGTGGTTCCTGGTTTCTCAGCCCTGGCAATGTACAACCTTGGATAGAGGTGGACACAAAGGTGTAGGGTAAAAGTTGTCCCATTTCTTGACTCGACATACGCCCGTCATCTGGCAATGTGATTGCACAAGAGGATTTTAACTGGTGTGCACTTTGCTCATTTGTATTGATCTTCTACGATGTTACTCTATTTTGAAACTTATGGTGGTAGAGTAGGTAGGTTATTATTTTATTTTACTTTTGGTTTTGCTGTTTTTTTTTTTTTTTTTGTTTAGCTGACTGTCCATGATAGAAGACCATAGAAATACTAGTTTTGTTTCTTAATTCTTCCTTTTTTCCTGATTGCCCTTTACCACAGTTGTTGCTGAGACATGTTTTACAAAACACAGAACAATTTAAAGTGGTAATTACTGCCTTTTAAAACTTCTAATTGCACTTTCTGCTTTTAGTACTTACATTCCAGACTCTTCCCTGGGACCAGCTTACTCCTATAGCCGTCGTCTGTGTTGAGTCAATAGCTCTGTACCGTTTGTTTTCCGTTGGTGGCTGTGCGCATAGTGGCAAGACTGAGAGACGTGAACATTTCTGAACCAAGCTCATAATCATGTGGTTGTTTTTTTTTTTTCTTGTGTGGTTAAATGAAAAAACAGCTTGATCCATGAATATCTGTGCTCTCCTGTGGAGGATGAGACTGAATGTACATATAAAATGGTTTTCTCAGAAACGTGTTTTATCAACTTTTTGGTTTGTTTTCTTGTTTTTAAGCTTGCCACATTCATAGTGTGATTTATTGTTATAGTAAGAAAACCTTAGAACTACACTAGACTTTCTTTGAGCCTGCTGTGCTGGCATCAGCTATGACTTTCGTCCTGCAAATGACATTTTTAAAGCCTTGCTTTGGAAAAAAAGTGTCTGTAGTAAAAGGTATTTTCTGAAAACCTCTTCCTGTTGAATGGTTGCCTTTTCAGAGGGTGTGCATCTTATTATTATTACCAGTCAGCTTGATTTTGGTTTTCCCAGCTGCCTCTTTTCTTCCGTACCTGATGCAAAACAACTATTGAGAAAGAAGGATGATGTCTGAAATCAGACTTAGGAAGGAAAGCAGGGGTGGGTTGGGGGAAGTTCTGTCAAGTGACTAAAGCCATAAGAATTAGAGAGGGAAAGTATTATGCCACATATATCAATCACTCCCTGTTACACCCCCTTGCTCTTGTAGCAAATGTCGCCTAAAATAGTGATCTTCAACTAGTGTCTCATAGGAAACTTGGTGCCTATGAGAGCTTCATCCAGTCCTGGCAGCCACAGGACTCCACCCCCAGCTTGATGGGAAGAGCAAAAGATTAAGGTGCTTGCAGCAAATTGCTTGCCCAGTATTATTGCCAGTAAAGTTTTGCATTTACTGTGCTGTGCCACTCCTCTGTACTGTCAACTTTTATGCTGCAAAATAATGTTGTGGGAGTTTGGTATTACCTACTGGAGTAAAGTCAATATATTAGGTACTGCAGTGATACTCAGGCTCTGGCCCATAGTGTACCACTGCTGCTACTTGGGTTTATGTGCTAAAAATCATCTTGTTCTTTGGTGCTCCCTCCTGATGGTCTAATATTCAAGTGATATAGTACAGGTCTGTCGAAGTATTAATCAGTAAGTGGATAGACTGGATGTAGTCTTACTACCATTATTTTAATTTTCTTTTTTCCACCTCCCAGCTTGGTGATCCATCTATTTTCCCTGCTGTCATCGTGGAGCATGTTCCTAGCGCAGACCTCCTTCATAACTACTCGGGCTTATCCTGCGTGGATGAACCTAGTGACATGATCACTGAGAGCTCTCTGGACGTCGCAGAAGAGCAAATCATAGAAGATGATGATATCACACTCACAGGTTGGCAGTAAAACCATTTCTGTGCCATGTTTTTGCACCAAGATGGCTGTGGCTAATGGTAGAAAAAAGCTTAATGACAGAAACCAACAGGAAACAAATTTATAGTAGTATTGAATGCTGTTAATTCTGTACGAGACAGAAAAAATGGCATTAATACTGCTAGCAGTTGGCTTGCAATCCCAGCTGCACAGCTGATAATGGTGAAGAGTTTCATCCATCAACAGAGATTAAGACAGAGTCCTGCTCAGAGTACCAACAAGATTTTTCTGTGCTCTTCATAAAATTTGTTTGCTCTTATTTAATGGTTGGAACATACCTAAGTAAACATACATACCAAAAATCAGGAATATGCAACTTGAGTAGATGTGCTGCTTTTAGCTTCCTGAGGCTATACAATTAGCTATAAAATGTGCACGTTAGTGTGACTTACTGGTGTAGGTATGCTCAGCATAGTATTCGTGCTGTATCTCTAGTAATGATTAATGCCAAAAATACAGATGTTCTGTGTAAATTCTGTTAGAAAAGGTAGCCCCAAAGAGAAAACAGATATCAAGAGGAAAGCTCAGAGATATGTCACATTTCTTAAAAAACAACCCCTCACTGAATGCATGTATTTGAAGCATTTTTGCAGAACAAGTCTGAAAGGTGAGGTAGATACTTCACAGAGGGATCATCTGTTCCTCTGTCGTCTTTCAGCCAAGGCTCCACACTTGGACTGTCTCCAGGGCTGGAGACAGCTTGCTGGTTTCAATCATGCTTTTGACATTATTTCCAAAGGCATACTCTGATACAATCTTCTACCACCAAAAGCAAAACAAAAACTCAAAAAAACTTGACATGAGGAACAGTTCACAAAGCAAATTGACATGAGCTGTTCTCAGTAAATGGTTTTATCTGATAAAAATGACTCCTTTTTTTTCTTAATAGTGTATTATCTGTGAACAGACTGTGACCGTACAAAAAAGTTAGCTGATTATTCAAGAGGGTTTTACATACTTAAACATTATTTCGAGTTGAGACCTCTTGCCAACTATTCACTTGCTGTTCATATTAATTATTCACACTGCAACTGGCATTTCCTTGGTGTGTTACTTAAGCACCACTTAATGCGGCTGTGTGAATTTTTCATGGCAGATCGTTTCTGTGAATCGATATTCTCTAATATATTGTGAGTGAATTTTTACTTGCATGAGTGATTGTGAAACTCCATTTTTGTGAATGCTCTTGTTAACAGTTTTTTGTTGCCGGTCACATGAGAGAGGTTTGCAAATTGCTGCCAGAGTCTGAAAATATGTAATCCTTGTAACCGATGATGTCCCAGGGTTTCTGGGATACTTTGGAGGCAGACAAGTACGGTATTGTTCCCCCCATCCATTGTAGTTCAAGCAGTCTGGTTTTCTTTAAAGGCAAAGTCCTGAGAAAACCAGAGCTGCCACTTCGCCGAGATTATTGTTGTGAAGGAGATGTTAACTAATTATCAGTTTCACACTCTCCATCCCGCAAGCTACTGTGCATGCTGTGGGTTTCCCTGGAGAGGAAAATGGATGAGCCCAGGCCAGGCAGGGACCAGCACCGCTGCGGGAAGCTCCCGCTCAGGGTGCAGGGCGGGCAGCGCTGGCAGCCCAGCCCCTGGTTTCTGGCAGGGAACTATCCAGCCTCGCTCAAGTAGGGCAGAATTTGGGGGCCCAGGGGTGCAAAGGGACTCCACAGAAGGTGAGGAGAGGACTTCGGGGAAGGAGGCCCCTGTCACCTCCCTGCCCACTGCAGGCAGGCATCGGCTGTGGCCGCAGCGGTCCGCTCAAACTTCAGGGCAGCCGTGGAGGAGACCCGGTTCAAGCATGGCTTGCTGGAGGCCTGCCTCTGAAATGGGGCTAATTGTAACTGAAATTTCCCACCTACTCTGTTTTTCAGCTGTCCTTTTTTTTTTTTTTTTTTTTTTTTTTTCCCCTCCTTTCTTTGAAGTTTCCCCCTTGATTTTTTTTTCATGGGGCGTGTTTGGTCTCAACAGTGAAATGCGTTGTTTTCCTCTTTGAAGTTTGTACCAGTCTTTTCAGTCACTTCCATGTTATGCCTTTGAGCGAGGATCAGACATTATAAAGACTGAACTAATTCCATGTTAAAATACTGGTAAGAAGTTCACAGCAAAATGAAACTGAAACCGCCATCATTTGTGACTAAACATTACTGAGAAATGGCTGTTTAGTATGCAGGATTTGGGGTTTTTTAAAGTTACCAGTTTTTCAGTACTGTTTTATGACTCTGTCGTATGTTTAACCTGTTTGTTTGTTTGTTTTTTTTTTTTCTCCTAAACTAACAGAAATTAGCAGTAGGTCCTCTGATACTGAAGCAATAAGTTTTCAGGGATTTACCTGCAGAATAATGGACACTGGTAGGTTTTTCCATCTTGAGGATGTAGCTTCAGCCCATCAAAACCACAGCTATTGCACGTCAGTGATTACTTACCCGTAGTATAAATTATAACCTGCAGAAAACTATAAGAACAGCATCTGTTTCACATGAGACCCTGCTGAAAGATGGCTAACAGCCAGCTTTTTAGTTACAGTAACGCTCATGCTGTAATTTTTTTATAATGAATAGGCAGACCTGTCTTATCACCCTCCTCTTTAAAAGCACTTTTCCCTCGAAAAACTGTCATGGCAATTCACACGGTCAGTTTGTTGCCAATATTAGGGGAGTTTAAATGATTAACGATCATGTAGTGAAGGGTGATTAACAAAATAAATTGGAGAAGTTTTATCTCTAAAGGGAAAATTGAATTGTGGTTTTTTTTTTTTTTCTCTGAAAAATACAGTGGATAATGTTTTGTGCAGATGGTACAATTTGCTACACTTTATGTACCTTATTAATGTGACTAATTATGGTTATATGGTTATATAGGGGGAGGAACTAATTGGATTATATAACTTACTGGAAAAAAAAAAGCTATTACTGTTATTAATTTTAATTTTTTAAAAACTTTACCAAGTCTGGCCAGTTTAATTTAGAAAAATAACAGTTAATCATCCTCTGCCATTTTGTGATTCACCTGTTCTGGTGTTGTTTTCATGGGATCAGGGAAGTATCTGCATGGAGACAGTTGGGGGGAATGAAAGAGGAGGGACGGAAAGTTTGTGTTTAGATGCCTCATGCCCTAATCTGAATAGGGAGCATGGACGTGTGCATTTTCATAGATCGGTAACAGTGCCTGATAACCAGTTCAGAAGTTACTTTACAGCATTTTGAATTTCAGTAACGTTTGGCTTGTACATTTGGGAATGAAGGCAAAGAGGTGTGAGGTACTGTAGTCCCGCACAAACCCAGCATTTTCAGTGAGCGTTTATGGTGCTACAAAGAAATCCAAAGGAATAGTTAAGTGGAAACTGAACTTCATAGTGTTAATCTGTGAGGATTTTTTGCTGACAAGGTGCCAGCTGTAAAAAAAAAACGAGTACAGTTTCAGTTATTTTGTAAAGAAATTATTCACTGCTGCACGTAGCATCTGGTTAAAAACAGTGAGGGTTTTTTCATATATCTCACCAGTGAGATCATTTTCTCTACAATTGTTAAGCCTTATTTTGAAAAGAAAATGGAAGGTGATGTGTAGGTCTCCTGAAATACCTGTGTTCTTAAACTTAGTTTTCCGTGTCAGTTAACAGTCAGCTCAGAGTTGATACTAAAAAGCAATTGCTTAAATTTAACAGCCTGCAAAAGGGGGCTCTGTCTGCGTTTAATGGACCTCTTTCTACTTCTAGCAAGCTTAGATTTCTTCTGATGTTACTTTGAGGCTCTGTGGTCTCTGCTTTTGTCTATAGTAAAACCAGCAGTGAATTTAAACACAGCTGTGACTAGCACAGCCCTTATCTTGGCCTGGACAAGGACTCACCTTGTCCGCTCTGCAGAGCTGCTGGCCACCGGGGAAGCAACAGGAGCGGGACAGGATCGACGAAAGCATTGTAAAGCTTTCAAAAAAGACACTAGGCAGGAGTGGGGAAAGCAGGACTTTGGTCTGAGGCAGGGAGCTTCCAGAGTGAGGCATAGTTTCTTTCTCCACCAGGTGAGAAGAGCAGAAAGCTGTGTTTGGGCAAGCCTCACGCTAACAGCAGCGAGCGCTGATTCATAGTGAACCTGGATTCGCAGTAACCGGGCTGTAATTGGCATGCACATACAGAGGCTTACATTTGTGGCTTGCTCAGATAAACAAGAACTTGTAGAGTACCCTGGGAAAAAAAAGAAGTTACTTTTAGGTGTGGTTTTCCCGCCCTGCCCCCCCCCCCCCCCCTTTTCCTTTCTTCTCCTCCCCCCCTTTTTCCTTTCTTTCTTCTCCCCCCCCCTTTCTTCCTTTCTTTCTTCTATCTCCCCTTTTTCCTTTTTTTTTCTCCCATCTTTTCCCCTTTTTCCTTTCCCCCCTTTTCCTTTTTTCTCCCTGCTCTTTTCTCCTTTTTTCTCTCCCTCCTTTTTTCCTTTCTTCTCTCCCCCTTTCTCATTCCCCCCCAGTTTAGCTTTTTCCTTCCATTTTCCTTTTTTCTTCCCCCTTTTTTCTTTTTTCCCCCCTCCTTTTATTCTGTTTTTTTTTTTTTTTTTTTTTTAAATTTCTACCTATTTAACATAACATTTGAAATCTGACGCTTCTCACAAGTTACTTCACCACCATTCTTTCAGCTCTGACTTTGCCAAAGCGTAACAAATAAGCTATTTGATCTCAATTCTTCTTAAATTTTTGACTGTATCATTACTGCCAGTGATTGGAATACCTTTCTGCCAACATTAAGAGAAAAACTAAAATAACAGACACCAGCTTGCCTTTGGTAGTTGAGTTTGTTATCTCCAAGCTCTCTCTTGAGTTGGGTGATGTGAATTAGCATCTTGCTGCGAGTAGGACAGAGAGGTGCTCCCTCTCCTCTGTGCAGTGCCCCACACCTTGTTTGTGTTAGCTCTTGAATTCTTGTAACTCAACTTGCTAACCCAGCAGTACCCCAAAAACTTCTTTTCAGCCATTTTAGAAAACTAAATTGTCTCACTGCATGATCAAAAAAGTGTGAAGCCTGTCTTGTGTTAAGTGACAGGAGTTTGGATCATGAACAAGGGCAGAGATAGGAGGAAGAACCACAGCCCTTGTTTTTTCAGCAACGGGGGAAATACTAATTTGGCTCAAACCACCTTGTGAAGTCATCTTCTAAGAAGAGTCTTGAAGGGTGTTAGCAAGGGCAATAACGTAGAAGGGTGTTAGCAAGTGTGTTAATGTGGTTAAGAAACTTATTTTCGCCATTTTGTGCCTGAGAATAGACAGATAGTTGGCGCTCCTTAACGTTTTTTGTGAGCATCAGATTATATTAATTTCTGTGTTTGCATTATTTATATGACTGTTATAAGTTCCTTTTATTAGTCTTGGATATGGGTGGTCAACTTCTAGCCAGATGGTGTAACAGCCGATGCAAAGCTGGAGATCTCTGCCTCGCCTGCCGTTATTCAGAGTGAAGAATTGACTCTGCTCCTTCATCACCTCAGTGCCTGAAAGCAAGCGGGTGGGTTTGTTCCTCCTCAGGGAAAGAGCAAAGAGCAGCTGCTCCCTCCTCCCTGCCCACAGCACTGAGAACCAGGGGGTACCACTGTTGGCTTTTAAATCGTCTGTGGCAGCATAAACCAGCCCCACTCACTGGCTTTGGCTGAGCTGGATTGTGGTGGGTTACCTTCCTGTCCATTCAAACAACATCAGACCGGGTGACAGCTGCTTTGGCAGTGCTGTGTGCCCCTGTTTAGGGTGACATCCTTATTGTGGCCTGCCTTATGCTGGTAGATGGTACAGGAAGTTCCCATCCAGATAAAACTTAGAACCAGAAGCGATCAAGTCAGCGCTGCCCGGCCAGGCGTGAGCGTGCCTGCAGACTGCACGGGCTGTGCTTGCTTCAGTCTCAGCTAGCCAGGGATCCCTTGAAGATGCTGCTCAGCTTTTGGACAAGACGCTCTGCAGCTGAGCTCCTGGGCCTTCAAGCTGCACAATGGAAGTGCCAGTGGTTTTCCTGCCTTGTCTTGCTCTGTGGCTTCCCAAGCCAGGACCTTAAGCCCCTTTCTCTTCACGCTGTCTTCCTCCCTACCTCTGCGTTTCTCACTGCTTAAGCCTGTTCGGAGATGTCAGTCAGAAGGTGCAGATCCTCAACTCTCTGAATGTCTGTGCAAGACAGGGGGTGGAGGGGGTCCTGTAGACAACAGGGTGAGTTGCTGTGTAGGTTAGGGGTTCCCAACACCTTCCGCTTTATTCTGTGTTAGCCCGAGCCACTGACACTTGGGGCATGGTAGGGCTGAGGTCAAGAAAAAATCCAAACTTCTTTGCCTTCTCCTAATGATACGATTGCTGAAGCTGTAAACGTTTGGGGTGAAACTGTTTTGGTTTTTTTTTTTTTTTTTTTGGTTGGTCATTTTTTAATTGTGTGATTGTTTAGTGCTAGTGAGCTGGGTGCTTTGTTGTTACTGTGATTTTTATTTTTTTTAAAGTATAGGAATTCTGACATAGGCCTCTTGCTTTTGTGCAAAGAGGAAATGTTTCAGGGTCACCGTGTGGTGTTTTATGTTGCATTTTTGCTTTCTCTGTCAGTGAATCTGTCGGTCTCCTTTCTGTTTTTTTTTTTTTTTCTCTCTTTTTTTTTTTTTTTTTTTTTTTTTGTGACTGCCCCACCCCAAATTCCTCAAAGCTTAACAGGGAGAGAGGGCGTGAAGCTGACTCAGACTCATTATCGTCCTGAGAAAGTTATGGAGGTTCATTGGTGTCCTAGAGAGGGGAATACAAATACAGCCCTTTGTACTTTTTTGATAGATGTGAGTTCCCCAACGTAGCTTCAAATACCTGACAAAGGAAGCCTGGCCCGTGCATTTCCATCCAAGAAAGAGTAATTTCTTAAAAGAATGTGTTAAATCAGTTCTAAAGGTTTATGGTACCAGGTACGAGAACTAACATTTAACTTATTTGTCATGATACAATTATTTTGAAAAACACCTCTGGTAAAGTACTCCTCCAGTCAAACCAATATTATCTTCTTGGACAGCAGTTATTTTTCAAAATTATATTTTATTGGATTTTTTTTAGTGTGTAGCTTCAGATGACCTTAATTATAACTTAATGCCCAAGAGCTTTGGATTTGTCTAATGACCACCCTCATGAGATGATGAAGGATTGTCTAGTGGTCAAAATTTGTGAAAAGTTTGTCAACCCCCTGTGTTGCTTTTCATGTTTTGTGTTTGCTTTCCTATGTGTTCCTGGAGCCTGCACTGTTAGCCCTCCCTCTAATCCCATGGATTTGAATGGTTTAGGATCCAGTTACACCTTTAGATCGTATGTTCTCTAATAGAAGTTGTGGAATATTTTCTTGTCTGTCTTCCAGGCTAAATGACAGGATATTTTTGGTGAGCACCTCTTAATTATGGAATTCACTTCCTTTGGACCACCATAAGAAGAAATTAGCAATATTGGTTTTTTTAAAGGATACTGTGTGGAATATTGTTTGTGGTAGTGATATTTCTTAGGGTTTGAGGGTGTTGTGTTTTACCGCATGTGCTTGATCAGCAAAGAGAGGGGTTAGAAAGATGAGGCAGAAACAAAGGGTTTGTGTTGGTTTTGTTTTTGTTTTGTTTTTTGTTTTTTTTTTATACATACAATCAGATTAATGTAGTATATTAAATAAATTAAATGATTGCAGTGTGCATTTTCTCCCCAGCTAACCTGTTACTACTCATCTAGTAGAAGACCGTGTTGACCACTTTTTTTTTTTTTTCTAGAAATGAAGTAGGAGTAAATATCATGTTAGGCTTTAAGTCCACATTTTAGCTTGTTAAGAATTAATTTTTACCTTTTACTTGTAGTTGAAGCATCTTGTCATAATGGAGATGAAACAATGGAAACAATCGAGGCTGCTGAAGCACTTCTCAACATGGACTCCCCTGGTCCTATGTTGGATGAAAAAAGAATAAGTAAGTTTTTTATGAAAGCAAATCTAATCTGTATTTGCCTTGTTTATTTGTGAAAAGAGGAGGGATTCAGTACAGCATGGTTGCATGGAACTGGTGAGATTATTTGGCTTCCAGGTAGCCTTTACATACATAGTTTGGATATCAGAAATCCAGCGTTGTATGCAATGAAGGATTTCATTGCCATGCCAGTGTTGAACAGGTAAGGAAAGAATCAAAAATTATAGAGGGAAGAGGTGAATAGAGTTGGGTGGTTTGGATTGCAGTGTTTTGTTTGGCTGATAGAGGATTAGTCTGTTTATGTCGTCAAGATAAAAGAATATACACTTACATCTGCAGAGTGCCTTAATTATGAATAAAAATGTATGATCACCAAATAATTGTGCTTTTGAGGGGGAGTGGGTTATATCATTAAATTGTTCTATTTTAATATTGCTTCTGCTTGTGTAAAATGTTGTTGGTGCATATATGCCATTATGAACTAGCCTCCTCTCCCACGAAGACCTGAAGTGTCACAGTTTTATTTTAGTCTATGTTTAATTTTTTTTGTTAAAAAAAAAAAAAAAAAATCCTCGTGGATGTGTGAAAATACTCCTGTTGTCCCTTTCCTTAAGCAACTATGTTCGGCGCAACTGAAGATGATGATATGGTGGCTCCTATTACACACGTGTCAGTCACACTTGATGGGATCCCTGAGGTGGTAGAAGTTCACCAGGCCCCAGACTCTTACGCTGAATCACCAGAGACTCCAGAATTTGAACAACCAAAGAAGAAAAAAGGTAAGATGCTCCTGGAGAACAGCAGTATGGCGTAGGAGAGCAGTGAGTGGCGTGCTTGCCTCCCCTGCGGGTGCCTGGAACCATTCTGGCTGTCAGGTCAAAGTCACTGAAGCGGGCTCAGCTGGCAATAGAGAAAGCATTTTTTTGCTGGGTAATGTGAGCACAGATGCTGGTGCTTAGACACTAAAGGTGTTGGAGGGGTAGCAATGATGGCTTATCCCACCCGAAACAAGAATCTCTGCTTGTTCCTATTTATAGTTTCCTCTTCAGAGCAGAATTGCAATACAAGCTGTAGAGCTTTTGTTACTGTGAATCCTGAAGTATTTTAATTAGCTCTGATTTAGCTTCAACTAAAGATACTTGATCTGTTCAGAACATGGGATGAGAATGAGGAGGGTTTTTTAGTTAAGTAGGAGTAGTTTAATTTTATTTTTTTTTAAATAGCTGCATGCTATAGTAAGCATAAGTCCCATTTGCACTAGATGACATTTACGCAGTGTCCACTGAATGATGTTCCATTGGAGTCAGTGCTGTGCCAGAGAAGTGAAGTGATGTTAGTAAGACCTTTTGCTCCTGTTTTCCCATCCTGCTTCAGCATAGACCCCATCAGACATCCTGAAGCTGACGTTTACAGGGGAAGAGTCATGCACTGCAGGCATCTGTAAGGTGCTATTGCAACAAATCTGAAGAAAAAAAAAAAAAAAGAAACCGAGAGAGTTATATTTATGGAACTAATCCTATGGCTGAATCAGAGTATTAGGACTTGCACAGGTTCCCCTGTGAAATAAAAGCCTTCCAGAGCAGGACCCCTGTTACCCAGCCATACTCCTGCTGATTGAGAGTGTGTTTTTGCTGCTACTTCCAAACGCTGGGAGTCGTTATCTGTGAGAGAGAGCACGTCTGCCTGTGGAGGTCTTGGGGAAGCTGCCCGAGCCCCGTGTGTGTCACAAGGTCTGGTAGTGATGGGTGTGGGTCGGGAAGTTTCCAATTCCCGTAAAAAAGCTGAACTGAAACCGCAGTGGAGGAGAGCTTTACCAGCAGCTGTCCTGAGAGTGCTGCTGGGGAAACTACCGTGCTGCGTGCACTACTGTGAGATAACCAACTGTAAGAGGATTTTAAACTGTTTTTTTTTTGGTTTGTTTTGTTCTTTTATTTTCTTCTTCTTTTTAATGTTGGCTGCTGTGTGGGTCAAAACAAGGAGCTGCTGTCATCCAGACATTTAACCTCTTTGGCTTGATGCTTTCATACCCTCTTTTGTGTTGTGCTTCTGCTTACTCCCACTCCTTCCTCCTCCTCTCTAGCTGTAGGTTAGAAAACCAGTTGCTTCACAGCAAATGTGTGTTTGTTTTTGACAGTTACATCAGATAGACAAAATACTAGAAAAGATGCATCAGCTTAGTGTCTTATTAACTACTAGTTTTCAGTGAAATTGAGGATTCATGGGGTAGATGGTATGGTCTGAGTGATGTTGAAACGTTACTTAGTGTCCAGGGATTTGTAAGGTATTGGTGTACAACAACTGCTGCAAAACATTAGTAATTTTGTAGTGCGCTTCAGGACGACATGCAGTATGTGGATGGGGTTCTTTTGGATTTGTTTCTTTGTCTTTTTAAGTGCAACCTGTTTCCCTCACTTTGGTCGGTTTTGTGGCACAACAAAGGACTGTGGTCATTTTGCCCTATCCATACCACTCATGATTTTGTAGACTTCTGGCATATTTAACCCATCAGCTAGATGTATAGGGTTGCATTGGGCAGAGCGTTGCTGGCTGACTGAGCCAGAATAGCATTGCCAAGTAGAGCTCCTCCAAGAAAATGTTCTCCAGAAGTGCTGGGATGATTTCACTTCCTTTCCTTGTGGGCCTTATTGCTGCAGCAGGAGAGCTGTATCCACTCATCTGCTCAACTCCAAACCCATGTTCAGCGCGATGTTTGTACTCATGAATGTCTGAGCACTGCACTGCCGAACTACAGATCAGAAAGACAGGAAAAACAAAGGGATGTCAGAGAAAAACTTGGAAATATGACATACTAATATCCTCAGTCCTGGTTTTGCTATGGGAGGTATCTGACAGTAGATGGTTACATAAGTTATATACACATTATATTTTAGATAGATACTGTTCATTAGGGTTTTACATACATTATTTTTTTAAAAAACAAACCCCACTGAAAACGGTACAATAAAATGTATTGAACTTTTTCTGGTGTGGTATAAAATACTTAATCAGGGTGAGCATCTCACTGTCTAAATATCACATTAATCTGTAGAGTGAGTTTCTAACCTGAAGTGTTTTTGCAACCATTGAAATAGGAAAGTGGAAATACCAATTAGAAATTCAATTAGCTATACAAAATGATGGTAGCCCCACATCAAGCTTAGCTCTTGCACATTCTCCATCCTTCCTGTTTGTAAAATTCTCTCCTAAAAAGGAATTTAGTGATGCACTCTGAAAGGTAACAAATTCATGCTCTATTGAACCAAAGGAGGAAGCGTGCTAATGCTTAACGTGCTTGCAGAAAATAATCTTCTTTTAAACAAAGGAAATGTATCTTGTGTGTCTCTGTTAACTGTATTTCTGATGGTATCAGTGAGTGCTTGGAGATTATAGCTCACACTGTAGTCTAAGACCATCATCTTAAGTATTTCTAGCCCAGATACAGTTTGCTTCTGTCAGCGGAGACTTCCAGTCTATTAAGCAAGCAGATAATCTTGTTTTATCCCTAAATTCCATTTTGGTGATAAGTGAACAAGATAGCGCTCTATATTTTATCTAGCTTTTCCTGTTTAAACTCTTGCCTACGGTTAATAGCTTATTGTTCTCATCTCGTCTGTTTTAAGTGCTCTTAAGAGTACCTAAAAAGCCCCAGAAATTTCCGAGGTACATGGACTTCATAAAAATGAGCATAATCTTTACTAGAAGTACACTAAGAGCATAGGGAGTCCAGTCCTGTTGCAGAAATTGAAAAAGTTCAGCATAGAACTAAGCTTCTAACTTACTAGAAATTAAGTCCTCTCTGAATTGGGGAAACAAATCTCTTCCCTTTTTAGGTCCTTGTTCTTTTAAATTTCTCTGGTTTTTTAAGCTGCAGTTGACTTACTGGTGGTTTATTTCAGGGAAGAAGCCGAAACCGTGTCGTCCTGAGTCCCCTACTACAACTCCAAACATATCTGTGAAGAAGAAAAACAAAGATGGAAAGGGTAAGTCAGAGAGTTGTCACTGAAGTTTTTAAAAGAACATTGGTTCTGAGTGACCTGTATAAAGTTCACTAGCTCTCTTGTGATGTAAAACCAGGTCTCAAGCTCACTTTAAGGCAAGTAAATTACCGCACAAAATTTCTTGCTGAAATACCCAGTTCCTAGGGAGAATAATATATCTGTCACTTCAGTTGCAAGGGTTCTTGGAAACTCTTCAACCCCCCTGCAGAGGCTGCTGCATTTTGATTGAAGTCTTGGGGAGCACTTTGCATTGTATTAGCGTTTCTTGGGCTGTGGTTATTTTGACAGATGATCTTTGAAAACGTTTTCCATCTGTGTGTATCTAATTCTGCATGAGGAGCTAATCAAGGCTGCCAGTCGGCAGCAGGAAGTACCAAGCCCTGAATTTTGAGGAAAGCTGTAACACAGCTTGAAGACTTGGGCAGAAAACTTGGGGGTTTGATACTTCTTTCATTCCTTCTGTGTTTAAAAGGAAGAAAGAAAAATAAATACCACATAACTGATACAACAAATCATTTCCTCCAGACCGAACCGTTCAGTAGGGCCTGTCAGTTTTGTCAGCCACTCGGTCGCTTTGCTGTTGGGTCCAGCGCCCGCACCCGGGCCCGGGCTGGCGTTTGAAAGGCAGCCTGATGCCTCAGCTCCCACTGAGTTCTGCTGGGCTCGGCGGGAGCTGGAAACGAGACTCCCCTGGGTCACCACGAGTGCCTGCACGCACGCCTGGGAACTGATGGGCTTGCACGCGTCCCGTACGTGCCGGGACAGAAGCCCGGCCAAACCTGGAAGGTGGTGGCATAAGAACGTCAGACTCTCTCGAAATCAGAAAAATTGCTACCCCCACAAATGAGTATGTTTCTGACTTTTTTTTTCTTTCTTTTGAAGAGGGATTTTCTGTAATAACAGGGGAAAAAAACCTCTTGGCAAGCAATAAGTATTTAACAGGCTAATACCAGTAATTTTGAGTATGCATTGTTTTTTTTGTTTTTTTTTTGTTTTTTTTTTTTTTAATTAAAACTTGATTTTTAAGTAAAAATGAAAGAAAAGTATCCGAGAAACCTCTGTGTAGTGGTCAAATGAAAGCAGCTAGTCACAAAATTAAAAGGCAGGTCTGATGTTTCTGTGGATGATAGCAAGGATACACAGTATTTCACATTTGTACAGTGTTACAAAATTGCTACTTCAGAATGAATTAAAAAGGAGCATGTTGCCTGAAACCACTGCCTGTTACAAAAAAAGCTACAACAAAATCATTTGTTTTGCATTTTGAGGAACGTAAAATTGAAGTAAAAGGGATATTAATATAACTGGCCATGGCAAGGAAGCAGCTAGAAAATCATGAGAGTTGCCTGTCTCACAGTATCCACAATATGCCCCTAAGGGGAACATTTATGCTAAGATATCAAGCCCTCTATATAATTATTTGATGTGATGCATGGATAAAACTGAGTTTTCTACATATTTCTTCTGCTGCTGTGACTCACAGGAGGCTAAAAATTCTGCCTGTGAGTAAAGCAGAGGTATTTTTTCCAGACAGTTCTCTGCACAGTGATAAATTTTCAAACTGCCTTGATGCAGCTGAGCATTTTTAGCCTAGACTACAACAAAAGCACCCCGGATTAGATGGTAGCTGGTAAGGGACTGGGAGTGCTCTCACTCCTGGCTGACACTGTATTTTGCCTAAGCAGTCTTAACCTTTGCCTTCGGGGTATCTGAAGGCAAACAGGCTGACCAAGTTGGGAGACATTTGTTGCAAAGGCAGTGTTTTTCCTCTAGGGATGCTCGATTTTCAAGTTTCCACCTGCTGAAGGAGCTGCTGACATTTTGGTACTGCCAATGCAGATGACTTTGCTGAATATTTGCAAAATACAGATTATAATACAGTAGTATGGGAGTTTTAATTTGTAAGATACCTCCTCTTGTTGAAAAAAGTTCAGACTGGTGATTATTAAAGTTGAAAAAACTGCCAGGTTAGATTTAAGCTAACAAAAGAGATTGTGTCACCTTCGGATGCACTGGGCATCATTTTTTGTTAAACTTGAGAAATCTGCACATGCTGTCCTCACTGTTTTTGCACGGCTACTTGTGTGAGGCAGTACTTTCACCCAAGAAGTTTTTTCTTCCTTTCTCAGACTAACAACATATCACTAAGGAGCTTATGTGCCACTTCAAGTGTCCAGAAGAACATCAGACACCAAAAGCCTTTAAAAAAGCAGGAAAAAAGATCTCTCTTATACTAGTTTAGACTTCTTAAATGTGCTTTTGGAAAAAAAAAGAATGTGGAAATTTTGCAGTAGTTTTAAGTATTCACAATCTGTGATTTTAATACTGTTTCTTTATATGTGGTAAACACTGAACAGATGTGATGGATTTCCATATATAAATGTTTATGCCTGCTTGTCTCTAAAATGAAATTGAAATGTTGTCTACCAGCAAGCATTCACTGGATTAAAAAAAAAAAAAAAATCTTTTTATGAAATTTTTTCTTGAAGGTTTGCCTACCTCAGCATATGCTACTGATTACCCTATGTAAATCTAATTGTTAAAAGTAAGGATTTTGTTTAGCCTTTTAAAGGATTATAACACTCACCTCAGTTCATCAACGTATTTAAGCAAGGGCTTAATTTCCATCACTTTCAGGTGGTGAACCTGAACACGTTCCTGTTTGAGGTAAAGCAACAGTGAGTGCTTCTCTAACCAGATTAGGCAGGAGGGAAGTGTGCCCAAATGTGACTAATGCTGTCTAACGGTGGTAGTTGGAACGGGGTGACTGTAGGTTGACTGGTACTTGACTCTGTAGGTTACTGACAGGGGCTAGGGTGTTTGGACACCCAGGTTATAATAATTAACATGAATCCCTTCTATCACTGTTTCCTAGTCTTGATGATGTATTACAGTGTGTTTGTAAAGATACCAGCTTCTTAATTTTTAGATTATTTACATTAATAAAATATGGTCAACTAATTTTTTTTTTTCCCTTTTATTTTTTCTGTGTCCTGAAATACTTTCATTTTAGGAAATACAATTTATCTCTGGGAGTTCTTACTAGCACTGCTCCAGGACAAAGCTACGTGTCCTAAATATATCAAATGGACTCAAAGAGAGAAGGGCATTTTCAAACTGGTAGATTCCAAAGCTGTGTCCAGGTTGTGGGGAAAACACAAAAACAAACCTGACATGAATTATGAAACAATGGGTAGAGCTCTCAGGTATGTGCATTTTTAATAATAGACTGGTGTTGTTGCCTTAGTGTTTGCACTCATTAAATGCCTCATCTAATTTATGTAACAACAGAAAAGAGCTAGTATTCTGTCAATTTGGGAAATTAAGAAGTTATTTCAGCAAAATAAATAAGCTAGCTAAAAGTAACCCTGACTAACCTCAACCCCAAATCAGTCACCTTCAGTCTCAGCTCAGACATTCGCACTGCTGCTGCAAAACTGCATCTTCACAGTCAGCCACAAAGTAAGAGACTGAAGATTCCAAGTGGGGCAAGCCTTTCACATAAAATTTTTATCTCCTTTCTCCAAAAAATCCTAATATCAGGTGTATTAATGAAATTATTTCTACTTGTCACAAATGATCCCGTTTATGGTGGAATATACAGTTTCAGAATTCAGGTCTGGTTCTGGTTCTCTGAAATTGCATGTACAGACAGTTTTAAAATGTCTTTTGTGCCTCTGCCTATCAGGCTGGGGTTTTTCTCATACATAAAAGACTCTGCAAAATAAGCAGACATCCATGAAGCTTCAGTCTTACCTGCTGATTGATAATTGTCCAACTGAACAGCTATGCATTTCTTTTCATTCCCCTTCATCCCTCACCTTGGTGTGCGTAATTTCAGATTGTCATATTAATTTGTAAATATAAGAGAATTAGTGTTCTCCTGTCCTGTTGCCTTTGCTTAGTTCTAGCTAACATGTCTGCCTGTGCTCACTGGTGAATAAGCATGAATGCAGGTCACTGAAAGAACTGTATGAGTCGAGATGAGAATTACAAGTTTCGTGAAACTTTAAAAGAATATGAGTTGATAGCAGACTTGCAAAGTCACGGAGTTCTCTCTCTCCTCAGCGTTACCTGAGGTTGAAATTAAAAGGTGACAAGAAATACCAGTAAAAGGAAGTTATCTGAGGAAAAATTACACTATTACATTGACCACTCCTTTATACTGAAGAAATGAGGCACTTAAAATATTGTTTACTGCTGGTCTTATTTTCTGGGGGTTTTGTAGCCTTTTTTTTTTTTTTCTTTCTCTTTTTGGTTTGGTTTCTGGCAAAAAACACTAGGTAACTTGATGTGTGTACACTTTAAACAGATACTATTACCAAAGAGGAATACTGGCTAAAGTAGAAGGTCAGCGCCTAGTATATCAATTTAAAGAAATGCCAAAAGATCTCGTCTATATAGATGATGAAGATGCGAGCCCTAGCACTGAATCATCAGATTCAGCTCTGCTCTCAACTCCTGTGGCCAATAGAAACCAGTCGAGCAGATCTAGAGCTTCTGCAAACACGGGAACAAAGGGAGGATCAACCACAGTGCTAAAAACAGGAAACTCAAAGCCTGCTAAGCTGAAGGAGCACGTAGAAGTTGTACAGCAGCAGACACCTGGCTTGACTTCAGAAGTTTTGAGGACAATGCAGTCTCCACAGCCAGTACATCCCACTCAGCTTTTTCGGACAGTTCATGTAATGCAGCCATTGCAGTCCCTCACAGAAGGACATGCTGCTGTAACCAGTAATGTTCCGGATGAAACGTTAAATCCCTCGGTTCAGAATATAAGGTAAGAAAATGTACAGAAAATAAGTGTATGAATACTAATAAATTCACTGGATCATGGCTAGATAGACTATATTCTTATGTGCTTCAAATAAATGCTCATCTCCCAGTTTGGTTGAAGTGAAATGGTGTCTGTGGCTGGTCCTGGGAACTGGGAGTTACTACAGCGTACTGCGATGTGTATGCTCATAAATGCTCTGCCTTTGGTGGAGGGAAGCACATCTCTCCTGTGGTATTAGGCCTGATGGAAATCCTTTGGAGAGGAAAACTATACAATTTCTCTTTAAAATTGGTATCATTAGTTCTGTCTCACAGCAGAGGCAGTATTTTCCTGCCTCTGCTTTTTCACTGACTGGTGTCTTTGCTTTTGAATTATACATGGTGTGTCTGCATGAACCCTTCAACAAAGATTTTCCTTCTTGCTTCTTAATTTTTCTTCAGAACTTCTGTCACCTCTTTTGTCTTTTGTATTGTCCCCAGTTACAGCACGGGAAATCTCCATGTTATCTATTTTAGCATTTTGCTGCTGCTACAAGAGTATGTTCTTTTGATTTTTAGAAAACAATTAACAAAATAATCTCATGGGAGTTGTGTATCTGGAGACTATGTTGGGAGACAGTTATGCTTCCACGCTTAATTTGTAAATCAACTGGCTAACACTACACAGTGTTTAAGCATCATGATTCCTTTGCACCTACCAGTTAGTAGCAGCATCCTAACTGAAGAGGCTTTAAAAACAGCCACTTAAGCCTGATTTTACCCTAGCCTGAGGCATCCCCTGATGGAGTTTGTTCATCTCCACTGACTACAAAAGACCTAAGCCAAATAAATGTTCTTGTAATCTAGGCCCCTCACAGGAATGTCAGGGCTGTATATGGTGATTCTGGATCTTAAACCTGTTTCATGAAAGCTTCAGGATATAATTCAGCAGCTGCACATTCTTAATGAATTATGAACATCACTTTTTTTTTGAGATTTGCTGTGTTAATATCATCGTTGCAATGGTTGTCATTTTGTGCTTCAAAATGGCAATAATGCTATTTCCTGCTCCCTTCCTCTATTCTTCCCTTTGAAAATTACATCCAAAGCCACCAATAGATTTGGAGTGGTACTGACTATCAGGGGTTAACCATGCAATTTTGTCAGAGAGAAGTGATGACACTAACGAGACCAAATAATTCCTTCATTTCCAAAGAACAAGTTTTGCTCTCTCATCTCTGCTGTTAGAGGGATGCTGTAAAAGCTAATCAGTTATTAAAACTCCACTTACATAAAATGAAAATCCAGAATAGCAGTAACATCTAGGTTTTTTCAGAAGAACTGAAACTGTTTAGATCAGCCTCCAGTGACTGATATAATAACATCAATAAGTAGCGTTTTAGGAGATAACCAAGTAGTTGAGGAAGCTGAAGATTTATATATGGGAAATGACAAACCAAGACTGCAGCTTCAGTCAAGAAAAAAAAGTTGTATTATCTGTTCTTTCCATGGGGTAAAAAAAAAAAACAAACTTCAAAATTATCCCTGGACTGCCTAGTTTGAATCCTGTTTTTTTAAATTTCCTTGAGAATTTAAAAATGTTTTCATTCATGCTGCAATATAAAAAATAGACCCTGAAAAGAGAAATTCATGGGTTAGTAGAGGTTGAAAGGGAATAAATACATTGGGCCATGAAAGCAAAAATATTTTGCTTAGTTAACTGTAGGCACTGTAAAACAAACTGAAATGAGTTACCATTTTTAAGTAGACAATATCTGTTTTGTCTTTTAATTTTAACATGCGTGATTTTAAATCAAATTGTGTTTTGCTTATTGTTCTAACCACCTAGAATTAGTTCAAGATGCACATAGGGGAGGGAAGGGTTATATTTGATCTGAAGTTTATGTGAAAGATAATTATGAAGAATTTGACCCCAAAAAAATCAGTTTTGGAATTAATTTAGAAAATCAATAAAAATCTGCATCAATGTGATTTCTTGTAAGTTTTTAAAGCTGAGGAATGAAGCTACACTGTACAGTGCCGTCCTGTGATTTCAGGGTTGATGAGGGATTTAATTATTTGTAAAAATTGGCTATGGCAGTATAGTGAAAGGAAACAAATACAGACATAATTGAAGCTATACAGTACCATTTAAGTCAGTAGAACAATGCTATTAAACATTAATAGGGAAAAGTTCAGCAATTTGCAGAGTTAAATAGCTCTAGGCTAGACCTATACTAGATTATCTATCAAAACCAATATCAATAGTGTAGATGGTCTAAAAAATGGTAACAACAAACAGAAGTATCTGTAAGACCTAATAAGGCAGGCAGGCAAGAAGGCCTAACATTTGGGAAGCTGCTGAGTGACATTATGACATCCAATTATTGCATTATGGTATTTCACAATTAGACCTTGAGCAATAAGCTAATGGGGAAAAAAGCAGTGGAGATGACACGTGTGAAGTTCGAATGCAGTAAAAGCCATAAAGCCTTGGAGTTCTCTGCTGCGTTGGTTCTAATCCATTGTTTGTAACTTAAAACATTATTCCATGAAGTCTTCAATTGCACTTTCCTTAGCCAAGATGACAGAGTGTCTCAGATGAAGGAAAAAAAAAAGACCCATAGGATCTTTTCAGTACAATATGTAATTACTGAATGGTGTAAAAGTACTGCAAACCAAGAAAGAATGGACTAAGGTGTCTGGGCAGTTAGAGTGAAAATAAAAACCACAACCCAGATTTTTTTGGTGTGCTTTTAACCAGGACAGGCCAAGCTGCGAACCAAGGTGCTGATGAGTCCTGTGCAGTAGTCACTGCCTATTCCAGGCTCCAAAAATATAATTTATGACAGATACGTTTCTGCTCAGTTTCAAAATGCAAACTTGAAATAGTTTGGTGAGGTAAAATGGCACACTGAACATTTTTTGGAGCATATGTTTTAAGTTGTGATTTATAATAAGGCTAAAACAAGGGAACTGGATTTTGGGTTGGTTTGTTCAAACAGCTATAAATCTCTAGCAGCTGAATGTGTTTGTGTACGCGTTCTGAATTTCTGCAGTGGGCCTTCCATAAGGGTTGGAATGAATGGTCTATGTGATTTGAAAAGGTACAGCAGGTACGATTGCCATTATAGAATAAGAGCTGACAAACCTGATGTATGCACGCGCTTTGTAGGGTTGTGGTTGGCGTCACTTTATAGTAGCTTTATAAGGAAGCATGAGGACAAATAGCAACACTGGTTGCCAGTTGGTGTTCAGAGTTTGAAGCATACAGATAGTAAAGGTTGTTTGGGCAAAATGGCAACCTGGGTTTGGGAATGATCCTCAGGAGGTTTTCTGATGCATACTGGTTAGTGGTTGGGCTCTGCTTTGAAGTGTGAATATCTTGGACGGATGTAGTTTGTCTTATGCAGTGTAGCCTCTATAGTTTTATTCGTATAAATGCTCTTCCCTCTTCTTCATGGAAATAAATGGTCCTCCTTCTGTTGCGTTATGACAAGAAAAAAAAAATATAGAAACAATATTGAGGATTTTTGAGGTCAGAACAATTGGCTTCTTAACACTTAACCATGGACTTCTCTGTAGGACAAACATGCATCTTCTGGGTTGAGTGACTAGGTAAAAGAATCATATTTGAAGAATGTTGTGAAGGGCTTGTATCACCATCCATCCCCTGTGTTAGGCAGCATTGCCTGGTAAAGTCTACTCCCAGAGCATCTCTGGGGGAGAGCAGGACAGCCGTTCTCCAGGGCCTCTGTGTTTCTCAAAGAAATGGTCATGCCAGTGAAAAGCCGGGGCTGGTTCTTCACAGGAGACAGGCAGTGGCTTCATTTATAGCTGTACAAAGCTTGTGCAGTTTTGTGTACTTCGAGGGGAGGGTGGTGTCTTACTCTGAAGCAGAAGGGTATCTTGGCTTTTGGATGGCTTTTGATGGGCTTTTTATACAAGTTTGGTGCAGCTGTATGCAGGGGAGACAGAAAGTGTTGCTCGCCAGGGATAGATGCCTCTTCTTCAGCCCCAGTGCTTAAACAGAAAGACCTTGATGTGGTGCTATCCCAAGCTTGGGAAACAGGTTAGGAGCAGGGCCAGGTCATGCAAATTGGGTTTTTGTGACCTGGAAGACAACTAGTATCTCCAGCGTGAATATTCAGAATCACAAACTATCACGGTTTAACCCCAGCCAGCAACTAAGCACTGTGCAGCCACTCGCTCATCCCTCCTCACTCCCAGTGGGATGGGGAGGAGGATCGGAAACCAAGTAAAACTCAGGGGTTGAGATAAGAACAGTTTGATAACTAAAATACAATAAAATTAATAATAGTAATAATTGTAATGAAAAGGAATATAACGGAGAGAGAAATAAAACCCAAGAAAAGGCAAGTGATGCACAGTGCAGTTGCTGACCACCCGCCGACTGATGCCCAAGCAGTGATCCACCGCCCCAGCCAACTCCCCCCAGTTACTATACTGGGCATAACATTCTGTGGCATGGAATATCCCTTTGGCTAGTTCAGGTCAGCTGTGTTACCAATGTCATTCTCACACTAAATCCAAACCCCAGCACTGTACCAGCTACTAGGAAGAAAAGAAACTCTATCCCAGATGAAACCAGGACACAAACTCACTGCTGTTCTGCAGGTCTAACAACCCTGGCTCTGTGGATGCAAGCACAGTTACTGCTGAATTTGGCACCACATGTTTCCAGTTATAAGACAAAACCAAAAATGCCTCTCTGGATGAACATTTTCTTTCTAACTTTTTCCAGTGAGCCAGCTTTTTTAAGGAAGACAGAAAAAAAAAAAAAAAAAAAAGTCTCTTTGAATTTAACGCCTGTAAAATTCTTCTGTTTAAACCAGAATAACTGACACAGTTTAAGCAGAATATCTGGTTTATTGGAGTAATTGTGTTTTAGTTTGGAATTCAGAGGCACTGAAGTAGGCCTGGGATTCAGATCCACGTTCATTAGGTAATAATGAGCGTAAAGGCCATCTTTTCTGTTGCTCCAGAAAGTGTACCTCTCCTGTA